TGGGGAGGGGGGCTTTTGGTGATTATGGAAGTCTCAGTTTAGGTGTCATTCTAAAAGGGGGTTGGGTTGGGGGGGTGAATGGTAACGGCGGTCTGACTTTGTCTAGATCTTCTCTCTGCGCCTGGAAGCCGCTGAGCAGTGTGATGTCAGCGACGGCCATTCCGGAGAGGTTCCTGCTCGGGTGGTGACTGAGTGACAAAGGAGGAGTCACGTCTTTAGGTACAAGTTAGATTGGGGGACACAGAGGAAATATGGCACAGAACACTGACCTAGTACAAAGAATACCAACCATGAAAGAATCAAGTACGACAGCCATATGTAATAATTCATTAGGAAAAAGATTATTATTGAGTGATTATTAGAGCAGTAGTATAGCTAATTCCAGGATAGGTTCCCGACCCACCAGACCCTGCACAGGACAATTGGGCTTGGAAAATGAATTAATTAATTCATTCATTAATAGATAATTTATACAAAATATTTATGAAAATTACTTTAAATGTACTACATTTAATACAAAGGCTATTAATGGTCAGAAGTTAGAAAACTGCGTTAACCAAACCATGTTAGTTTTCATTTTAACCAATTAAACAACTAGTTCAAGATTCATTTTCATTGTTACAAAGTCAATGTAAAATTTCGTTGCACTGACCTGACGCACACAGAGTATACAACTGCGTTCTGGTCACTCTGCTCTGTGTCCCTCCTGCGGCGGCTGCGGGCGTCGAACCAGTCGATCTCGGAGCGAGGGATGCCCTCATCCCGTCTGTCCCCGTTCCCATCCTCCACATCAGAATACTCTTCATAGTCATAGTTATACATCACATCAGCTGTAAAAAAAAAAGAACATATGAAGAATAAGATTTATCATTTTCAATATATGCTATTAACAAGTGGGCCTTCAGGACATATAAACAAGTAAATTAATAAACATTTCAATAATTAATATGTCCTTTAACTTTGAAATAATTCAATAAAGGGTATTATATTTTATAAATGTTTCTTCTACATATGATCTTTAAAATGTATTTCGTAATAACGTTGCGATTTTCATTAGTCATCATTGTAAAATATTTTATAAAATGCAAATATTTCAAGATAAAGTTTAGCTTTTCACACTGATGTATTTCCGAATGACGGTTTTCTGAACCAGCTTTCCATAATGAAGGTGCGCCCTGTCAGTCAGTATAAGGGGGGGGGGGGCTGCAGATGTGAGGTAACAGTGCCACCTACAGTACCAAGGCACCGTACCGCTCTCTCCATAAAGCACAGGGTCTTAATCTGAGTATCACATACCGTGACGTTCTGGTGTCTCATATCTCTGTGAACTTCACTGCTTAAATCATCTTACATGGTTGAGAGGTTAGCACTAGCTGACCACATGACTGAGGTTAAAGGTCACACACAGCGAGTTTCTTCCTCTCTCACCAGTGTATTGTACTTTGCCTTCCATGGTGACTTTGATGGAGAGAAGCTCGCAGCTTTCTACAGGCTCCAGTACATGGTAGGCCTTGACCACCTGCCGGACAGACCAAGACGGCATGTGATTATCTCATTGACATACCGTCACATAAGGGTCCCTCATGTGAGATACGGGTCTCTTGATAACCCTACTGTAAAGGGTATCTTCACGTGAGCTTTGTGACTCACCTTCAGTTTGGCTTTTCCATTTCCTGTTAGCTCTGCATTAATTGTGGCCCCAAGTAGCCTCTGCAGGGGAGAGATACAGTACAGCATGGGAAGAGAAGGGAAGAGCACTTCTATCTATCTATCTATCTATCTATCTATCT